GTTCGCTCGTGTTCGGCTCGAAATGACTCGAAAAAAAAATTATATAATTTTTTATATAACAATATATTACATATATTATTTATATAATAATATATTATATATATTTATGTCTAAGTTTAAATCATAACGCCTCATGTGACAATGTGGTTAGTGTTTTCTTTTGTATATACTTGATCCATGTTCGAATCTCACACTTTACATCTATTTTTCTCAATTTTAATTTAACAAGCCAATTTCGAGCCGAACACGAATATTTAAATCGAGCCGAACACGAACACACTGTTCACGAGCCGATTTCGAACACGAGCCAATTTCGAACACGAGTTATTTCGAACGAGCCCAACACGAGCCAAGTCTGAGCTCGCTCAAGCTCGGCTCGTTTACAACCCTACACAGAATTAATCTACAAATTTAAGGTTTAATTTGGATCGTTTTAATTTTTATTTTATTATTATTACCTTTGATTACATATAGGCCACCGAAACATTGATATTTATAAATGAACCGCCCCATGTGATTTTTTGAATTGTCAATGCATGATGAAGCTATTGAGAATTTGATAAAAATAAATATATGGGTTGGGGTTTATCGTGAATTTTGATATTTGAGTGAAATTGAAAAATAGATGAAAGAGAGTGGTTGATTTGTAAATAGTAAGATTCGGGTGGCATGTATGTAATTGCATCTTTATTTTTAAAATAAAACAAATTTGATACGTCGAAATAAGATATGATTATTTTTAACATCATCCAATACCTTAAAAGTTTTTCGAGTGTTAATTTATTTAAAAAAATGAAAAAAACAACCATCATGTTAAAAATACAATGAGAAAATATGAAGGAAATGTTGGATTTCATAGATGCGGTTGAAATTAAGGCCCGGTACGGGGTAGGTGCAGTCGTTTAAAGAAACAGTCTTGGAGTTGCCGCAGAAAAACTTGCTTTTCAAAAGTTGTGGGCTGAAACATTAAACAATGTTGTTTATCTTACTAATTGTGATCCGTCAATAACATTGAAGGAAGGTTTACAGAGGAAGCCTGGATAGATGATGAGGTAAATATAACTCATGTAAAAGTATTTTCTTATCCTCCGCATGTTCATGTTGATGCAGGGTTTAGAAGTAAGCATGTCTCGAAATCTATCAAGTGCACCTTCATTGGATATGACTCGGATGAGTTTGGGTATAAATTCTGGAACTATCAAAATAATAAATTCATCAACAACAAGGATGTCAGTTTCACTGAAATGGAAATGTACAAGGACAGGAGCGTAACTCATAATTTTCATCAGTGACCTCTAAAGAGTCCAAATATGTTGAGAAAAAAGATACTAGTGATCAGAAGGGCAGAGAATAAAAAGTGATCAACTAGATCGAGGAAAATAAGTTCCTCAATCATCTGCTGCTAAAGTCAAGAGGTCCAATAGAGTGTTACTATTGATACAAAGGTATTCTACTTTGTCACACTATTTGTTGCTAACTAATAGTGATGAATTGAGTGCTTTGAAAAGGTCGCTCAAGTTTAAGATTAGAGGGAGTGTGAGCTTGTCATGGAGGATACGATGCAGTCTTTGGAGTAAAATTAGACTTGGGATTTGACGATATTACCAGATGGCAAAAAAAACACTACACAACAAGGTGGTCTATAAACTAAAATTGAAGTCAAATAATAGCAAGTATTACGAGGCAAGGTTTGTTGTGAAGGGGTTCCAACAAAAAAAGAAGTGGATAACATAGAGATTTTTTTTTTTCTAGCGGTAAAGATGGCAACCGTCAGAGAGTCTGGTAGCAAATAAAGATCTACATTTAGAGTATATTGATGTAAAAATAGCTTCCTTACATGGAGATCTGTAGGAAAAATTAGATATAATGCAACCGCGGGTTACAAGGTTCGAGGGGAAGATCTGTAGGTTGAAAAAGAGCCTCTATTGCTTGAAGCACACTCCGAAATAGTGGTACAAGAGGTTTGACATGTTCATATCAAACAATGGGTACATGAAGTGTCAGACAAATCAATGTTGCTTCATTAAACATTTTTGTGAATATTATATATTGTTCTTTTTTATGTGGATGACATGCTAATTGCAAGGGTAGATATGAAGAAAATTAGGGACTTAAAAGAAAAAAATATATTAAGTGAGTTTGTGATAAAAAAAATTATGTCCAACCAAAAAGATCCTCGATATGAGAATCAACAGGGACAAAAATGTAGATATATTGAAGTTGTCTCCGACAGAGTATGTTAAGAAGATCTTATAAATGTTCAACATGGATGAGGAAAAACCAATTTACACCTCTTTAGGTAGTTACTTCAAGCTATCTAAAAAATTATCGCCTAAGTCTAAAGTAGGGCAAGCACGAATGTAGAGAAATCCATATGCTTCAACAGTTGAAAGTCTGACATATACTATAATTTGTAGCATGCCTGATATTGCATATGTAGTGAGAGTAGTCAACATGTACAGAGTGATCCAAGAAAGAATTATTGTGAGACGGTGAAGTGGATTCTTAAGTATTTGAGGAGAGCAATCTAGAAGACACTTTGTTGTGTAAGTGCAGGGATAAGTCTATAGAGATTTATAAATTCATATATGACAGGAGATTTGGATGGTAGGAGTACAACATGGTGTATCTTCACTTCTGGGAACACAACAGTGAGTTGGGTTTCGAGACTGCAGAAGTTTGTTGCACTTTCAACTATAAAGGTTGAATGCATCGCTATCACTGGGGCTAGCAAAGATATGATTTGAGTTTAGGTTTTAAGACAGAATTGAGCAAGGAGCAGGGAATTGGAAAATTTCATATTGTAGTATGAGTGCAATTCATTTTGCTAAAAATGTTGTTTTTCATTTTAGGATAAAATACATTTAGTTGATGTATCGTTTTATACGCTCTCTCCTAAGAGATGAGCAATTGTTCTTAGAAAGGATACACACAACTCAAAATCTTGTGGACATATTGATGAAGGTGGTGACTATCGAGAAGTTAGAACTATGTTTGGCTTTAGTTTGTGTCTATGAAAATTGAGACTCAGGGTGAGCCGCATCACAGTAAGTGAACTATAAAGATGGTACAGATGTAGATGTAGATATGGATGATTGGCGTTGGGTGCTATTAGTATCTCAGTAGTAGATTATTGAGGAATGAAGTTTGAAAAAACACCCAGGAGCACACAACTACAAGCCCAACACCTCTTTGTGGGAACTCCTATGTCTGTCTTGGCATAGCCACACTCGATTTGGGCGTGGCTACATTGGGCGGCGTAACCACACCGCAACAAGTGTAGTTGTGCCAGGATGTTTCAGATCCTTCGCCTCCTTTCCGATCACACAAAATAATTATTTCAGGTGACGGCGTAGTCATGCTCAAAACACCGCTAGGGCAGTTTTTCCTGTTTGGTTCTTAAAATCAGGATTAGAGACACGAAGGTAATCAATCTCACATGTGGTACTCCTAACAAGTTTCTGGTGAAGCAGAAAAGTTGAGATGGAGGATCAACCAGGACTTTCTCTTAAATACTTTACAGTTCCATCACAACAAACATTGATGGTTGCGCAATGAAAGGTTATCGTCGTAGCCGACCTATTTCTGCAATTGATTTGTTCTACAAAGTATTTGAGGGGAATTTGCTCGAAGATCTTTCATTGCTCAAAAATATATTTGAATTTTAGCTTGGATCGAGATGAGATCAAAATAAACTAGTAGCGCTACAAGCCAAAAATTTGGATTAGATTTTTTTAAAGAAGATTTTTATCGAACCCCAGCTTGGCTCGAAATCAGATCGTTTATTGCCCTAGTGATGTTATGGATGCGAATTTAGTGTTTTTAAAACAAAGATTGCTCATAGTTCAAAAATTGATTAAAATTTTGGCTCAGAATGAGATTGGATCGAAATAAACCAGTTGACCTACGAGCCCAAATTTTGTATGGAATTTTTTTCGAGCCGATTTTAAGCTAATCCCATCTCAACTCGTCTAAACTTTAAATGGCTGAGAAAAAGATAAAAAAAAATCTTGTTGAAGAAAAAACTAACAAAAATCATAAAATTAATTTGCATAAAATTAAATTATTAAAGAATTTTTTTGCTAACAAATAAATTATTAAAGAATTATTTATTATTTTAATATTGAAACTAACAAATAAAATATTAAAATTATCAATATCCTTCTCAAGGTTATTTTTGAAATTAATATTTTATGCCCTCACTGAAAAAAGAAATTTATGACTCTGCCCATAAATTTAATGAGACTTAACTCATCTTTAAAAATGGTGGGGATCTATGCCTATGCTGATTCACAATCAACTACAGCTTGTGTTGATAAATTATGTAAAATAGAAATAGAAAAATATATTAATAATCATTATCTATCTTAGAGAGAGAAAGAGAGAATGAGCATAACTACGTTCGGACGATATCGGGACGACTACGTGAAATAACCCACATTACCATACGAAAGGTATGGTAAGATTCATATCATCATCCGGAGAAACACGAACGGACATTCAGACAACTACGTGGAGTAACCCTACACTACCATACAAATGGTATGATACAATTCATATCATCATTCAAAGAAACAAAAGAGGACATCCAAACGACTACATGGAATAACCTCACACTACCATACAAACGTTATGATACGATTCATATCATGATCCAGAGAAACACAAATAGACATCCGAACAACCACGTGGAATAACCTCACACTACCATACAATATCATCATTCAAATAAACAAAAAAGGACATCCATAATGGAATAACCCCACACTATCATATAAATGTTATTATATGATTCATATCATCATCCAGAGAAACACAAACGGACATTCTGAAATAACCCCACACTACCATACAAATGATATGACACACTTCATATCATCATTCAAAGAAACAAAAACGGACATCCTGACAGCTACGTGGAATAACCTCACACTACCATACAAATGGTATGACACATTTCATATCATCATCCAGTGAAACACAAACAGACATCCAGACGACTACGCGAAATAACCCCAGACCACCATACAAACGATATGACACACTTCATATCATCATCCAGAGAAACGCAAAAGGACATCCAGACGACTATGTGGAATAACCCCACACCACCATACACAAACTAATGTCCAGAGCTGGTATTTTCTCCATATCTGACACCCAAACTCAGATTTGACATCTTTGTTATAAAGTAGGCGCCATGCTACATTAATAACGTGGAAGATGCACACTCCAAGTCTTCAACCCAAAATCACATAAATATTTTATCCAGACTGAGCAAAGGATATGGATAACTCTTACCCTCTGCGTAATTCGTAATTGTCAATGACTTCCATTAATGCTTCCCATCTTCCCCAGTTCTCTCATTAATTTAGCTCCATAAAGTTCAGCTCTTTTTCACTATAAATACTGAACCAAACCAGAAGCTCAGCTCAGCAATACACTCTCTCATCTTCTTCAATCTCTGAAATGGCTTCAAAATCCTTCATTGTGTTCAGTCTTCTTCTTCTCATGGCTCTCCTAATCTCCTCTGAGGTTGCAGCTCGCGAGCTCGCTGAGGAAAACAGTGGGTTATTTATATTTAGCTTGTTTAGCTATCTGTCTGTCTGTCTGTCTGTCTGTTTATATCTTCATCTACATATAGATAGATAGATTTTATGATTTATGAAAAATTATTATGTAATTTATCCACTTGCATGTAAAACTTGTTGTATAATGATGTTGTACACTGTTGTACATAGTGTATAATATTGTTATATAATAAGTTTGCTATGTTTGCGGGCGAAGTAGTTAATATTCTCTCAAAAATTCATCTAAAAAAGTTTTATTTGAATATTATTTCTCCATAATTAGAAATACAAGAAAGTTATACATTTTAAATTTTTTTTTCTCTTTAAATAATATGAAACTATTAAGGGGTTGTTTGGTGACAGATTTAGAGCAGGACTTAACATGGATTTCATCTAAATCCTGCCCGATGATTAGTTTGGACAACGAATTTTATAAAATTGGATTTCATGGATTTTGACCGTAAATCTCGGATTTATTAAATCTCAAGAACTAAAGGATTTTACTTTGTTAGCTTTGATTTAAGATTATTAGGATTTTGTAAATTCATTGTAAAATTGTTTTATGGATTTCATTGATTAAGGATTTAGTAAATTAGTATTTATAGGATTTACTAAATCTTAATAACTTAAATTTCATATGTTGCCAGTCAATACTAAAATTATTGTAATGATTTCCTTATTTAAAATGCGTAGATAAAGAGAAGACTGAAACAGACAGTGGGCTACAAGATCAGAAGTATGGTGGTGGTGGTGGTTATAATCATGGCGGAGGTGGCAACTATGGCCACGGCAACGGTGGTTACGGCAATGGCGGTTACGGCAACGGTGGTTACGGCCACGGCAACGGTGGTTACGGCAATGGCGGTTACGGCAACGGTGGTTACGGCCACGGCAACGGTGGTTACGGCAATGGCGGTTACGGCAACGGCGGCGGATACCACAGATATCCCCCACGTTGCCACTATGGTTGCTGCAGGAGAGGATATTATGGAGGATGCTCTTGCTGTGCTAGCGCTGATGAGATGCCAGAGGCTGCTTACCTGCCAGAGCACAACTGAGGAGGAGATGCATGTCATAGCAAGCATGCCTTAGTATGTGTTGTGTTGTTTCATTAAGCTATATGACTTCAGTTTTATGTATGTTTCAAGTTTATTGTGTGGAGTGTCGTTTCAATGTGCTAAGTTTAAGGTTTAGTATGGGAGTGTTGTTTCATTAAGCTAGTTTCATCTTAGTATGAGTAGAAAATATTATGTTTGGATGATGGACGTCTACGACATGATGCGATTCACATCCAACGTAATATTTTCTTTAATACTAGAATAAAAGAAGGTGATATGATTTGTAGTTAAAAGAGCACTAGTGCTTGTGCTCTAGTTGTGGCCATTAAGTTAATTTCAGCTTATGTTAATAGTGTGTTGGCTTTTATGAATCTCTCTAAGAGTTGTTTCTGGATGAAATATTATTAAACTTTCAAGACACATATTTAGCTTTGAGTGTGTCAGTGGTGAGTTTCAGAAGAAAATATTCATTCTAGATGTTGTATGTCCGGACGGTTAACCATCAGTTGTCACGTCGTCATAGACAATGTGGCAGTCAGTAGTTGGCTGTCCGGACGTGCAGATGTTCAGACGGAATATTTTGTTCTAGCTTCAAAAAGGATAAAGATCCATCAGTAAGCTTAACTTTGAGATTTTTAGCAAGGAATTATAAATTATGAATATATGAGTAATCTAAAGCTCTGCTAAGTCAATAATCTATGATTTTTGGCCTCCATTGTTGCAAGCCATGGCTAAATAAAAAAATGCATTTATGGTCTGAAAGATAGAGCTATAGTTTTAATTGGAGAGCACTAGTCCAAGACCATAAAAACAAAAGGAGGCATTTTGTTTTCATGGGGATGTGGATGCTTCCATCTTGTCTTTAGCTTTTTGATTGCTTAAGAAAGTATGATATTTCTTTCTAGCTTTAATTCTGATTTATTTTTATTTTAAGCTGATAATTTTTTTTTTCCAATCTTGTGCTGTTTATATTACTATTTTTATAAATTAGTTGATTAAATTAAAATAGTTATATTTAAATTAATTGAATAAAGAATTATTAATAATTAATTGAGATATTATTTTATGCTGACTAGTGAAGATTAGTTAACTATTAATTATTTTAAAAAATAGTTTTAAATTAATTAGTTTAGCAAATTCTCAATTAATATTTACATGATTAAACATACGAATAATTTTAAAATGTAGATTAAACTTAATAATCACATTATAGATGATTAATATTAAAATTTTATTTGAATTATCAAACTTAAAATTTGAATCATTAGTCCAATTATTTACCAAATTTTCCCAATCATCCAAAATAATTTATGCAATGACATAGAAACCTCCCGAAATCAACCGTCCCTTTTCATTCATTTTTCAAATTCTCACTCAAATATCAAAATTTTCATGGTAAAACCTCAATCTATATTTTTCAATTTTATCAAATCCTCAATGTTTTGATCATGAAACGCATAAATACATCGGTTCGCTTGTTCAAAAGTGTATATATAAAATATATCGACACAATCTCAAGACAAATGAACGGTTCAGAAGAAAGAAAAAACTGATCGAACGCAGCTGTTGACGACCATTTTGAGCTGGATGACGATCAGAGTGGCATCTTGTTCAGGCGATCGGCGGAACATGCAAGAGATTTTCCATTGGACAGTGATTAGCCCTAGAAAGATCAACAAGAGCCATCCTTTCGGATTAAATTTTGATCGGGTCAAGGCTTTCCGGACGATCAACGAACTCTTATCAATCGAATTAGTTCTCCGATCTAACTATATTCAAATAACTTTGTAATTACTAAAAAGTTCCTTTGAAAAGTCACTTATGAGGGGACTAATATGTACTTTTGTAATACTGAGACCTATGTCTATAAATAGAGGATCCATGTCATGAATAAAAGCTAGACTAACTTTTACTATTCTTGACTATACTCTCTCTCCCCCCTCTATAGAACTCTTTATACCTTGGTTGTCTTTCTTGGACATTCACGGATTCAACATCTTTTTAGGTGCAGTGAGCATGGACGTTGTCGCCAACAAAAGGAAAAGTTCTGCAACAATAACAGAGAGAATCAATTAGAGGGATGTGTTGGACTCATAATGCACTAGAGAGTTCAGGGAAGAATTCATCCTACAAGAACTGCAAGATTTGAGAACTCGGATTACCAGCCAAATGTTGGGACAATTTGTTGGTGTACTCAGAGCAGCGGTCATCTTAGGAGCATTCCTAGTCCCAGAAGGAGAACAGGTCCACGAGGAGCGATTAACCCCCCTCAAGGAGAACCACCAGCAAAGAATGAAGAAAGAGTGATCCATCAATGGTAAAAATCTGACAACAGGTTGTATCAAGACAACGATGGATCAACCCCTATGGAGGAGAGGAACCGATTAGCGTGGACCGAAACACGAAGGCAGCCACAGAACGCCTTCTTCCTATAGGTCTCGGGAGCTGAACCCCTACCTATCTTAGAATCATACAAAGGACAATTGGATTCTAAAGACCACCTCTCATCGTTCGAATCATCCATATGTTTGTTAAAATTTTTTGATGCCCTCAAGTGTAAGCTTTTCTTAAAAATGTTAAGATCAATCGCACTAAGGTGGTTCGACGTGTCGCTCATGGGGGTAATCACTTGTTTTGTGGAGTTCATGAGACTCTTTCTATCGTAGTTCGCTAGTGCCTTGAGGCCTATGAAGAGCGCTTGATCCCTGTGGAAACTGAAGCTGGATGTCAACTAGAGCTTGCAGTTGTTTGTCGCACTTTTCCAGAGCAAAATACTGGATGTCAAGGATTTGAAACCCGATATTGCCCAGAATGCACTGGTACAAAGTGTGAGATCGGAAAGATTTTGTTTTGACCTCAAACTCACAGAACCACAGAGCTTGGTCGAGATGTTAGTGATGGCCAACAAGTACATCGTCGCTTATTAGAACACCCAAGAACCCACCGAACAAAGGTACCATAAATGACCATCACAGGATAATAAAAGTAACCCGGACAAAGCACACGACCTGCCATCCGTCCACACTCGAGAACCATTATGGTAATAGCCTCATACATCACCACGAAGATCTAAGGAGGCAAGTTAAGGCTACACACCACCAATCATCCCAATGCTAAGAGTATCGAGACAATCATGAGGACCCAAGAGAAACGATGCTAAGGGTGTCCATGGTAGAAATATGGATGTCATTCAGGATAAGGAGTACTTCAGAAAAACAACCTCGATGAGAGCTGGCGCCTTTCTTCAAGATTGTAGAAAGTATGCAAATATCACAGAGATCACAGACACAACACGAAGGAATGCAGACACCCGTGGAGCCTGATCGAAGATCTGATAAAGGAGGGAAAGCAGAAAGAATTTTTTGCTCTTAGAGCTGTGACCCAGAGGCAAGGCAAAAACCCGCAGGAGGAAGATCGATGGACCCGTCCGTACAAACGCCATTCGCATCACGGGATACGTGCTCGCAATATGTAGATAAAGCAAACCACCGAGAATGATAAATCAAAAAAGTTAACAAACAAGAGAAATTTATACTACAACCTTTGCACCAAAACCAAAGAACCACTCGCTCATCAGTTTTAGTTATGAAGATCTACCTCTAAAGGGAAATTTGTATAACGATGCTATTATGATAAGGGTGATAATCAATAACTATCAAGTGAATGTATTGTTCAAAAAAGTATTTAACAGATTGATTCTAATTTTTGATCAGATGACTTCATTGACCAAACCACTGTATGGATTTTTTAGCGAAAGGAAGGAAGCGCTGGGGGTAACTGGGCTTCCGGTAAGTTTGACGGACAATGAAAAGTAGTTCACGCTAACACCTGATTTTCTCGTGGCAGATTCTCCCATGACATACAACATTATATTTGGTCGGACACTTCTAAATGATTTTAGGATGATGGTCTCCACTCATCATGTTGCCGTCAAATTCCATGAAGATGGAGAAATTATCACAATTAGGGGGAACCTAGAGCAGTCTCGAGTTTGGTACTTGAATGCCATAAGCAACATGGAGCACTCGAGACCAATGAGACCACCCTTGAAGTCCAGACCATTGAAGTAGAGCCAGATAAATGTTTTCAGTTAAGTGAGGCTTTTGATGCAGGACATAAGGAGCTGCTGGTTTGGACCCTCCAAGAAAACTAAGAGGTCTTTGCATGGACGACCGCTGAAATGTCAGAAGTGTCGATTGATGTTGCCTGCCACAGACTGAATGTCAATCCATCAACTCACCCATGAAGCAAAAGATTAGGAGTTCAGCCATGCATTGGTAGGACCCATCCGAGAGGAGGTACGAAAGCTGAAGGAGGATGGATACATTCGAGAAGTGCAGTACCCCACCTGAGTCTCCAATGTGGTTATGGTGCAAAAAGCTAACCGAAAATGGAAGATGAGTGTAGACTTCACCAACCTGAACTCAGTCTGCCCAAGGAATGCATACTCGTTGCCAAGGATCGATGCACTGATAGATTCAACAGTCGACCATTTTGTCCTTAGCTTCCTTAATGCATTCTTTGGGTATAACCAAATTAAAATGCACCCTGCTGCTTGATATACCAAAAATATATGCATTTTTAGACCCATATTTTATACTAATTTTCTGTGATATTGCACTTTAATGGAAGGAATTTTTCATGTTTTCTTGCAGATTGTTGATTTTTAGGACTTGGAGCAAAAAAGTTGAAATTTGTAGTCAAAATGACAAATATGAAAATTTGCTTAGCGTCGACGGCGACGTTTGACAACAGCGAATTAAATAGAACACCACTGGCGCCGACGACGCTAGTGTCAGTGTAGACCCTATTTATAGAAGATTCGACAAATTTGGATGCTTTTTTAAGAGTTTTTGGATGCACCTATTGGAAAACTGACTCTAGACTTTATTTGGGGCCAAAATTGATCAGAAAAGGGACTCTTCCCGACTTCTCGTCTCCCGAAATTCAACCTCCTATGCACCACACACTCTTCCATCTCATTCCACAACAATTAGAGTCCATTATTCTTATAATTTAGAGTTTTTGTGATGAGATTAAGTGTGAATTCTTCTTTAAGAGTTGTTGGAGAAGGAGAAAAGTGAGAGATTTCTTCTTCCTACATTGACTACAAGGGATTTACTTTGAGAAAAAATTTCAGATAAGTGTTGTTTGCTTAATAGTGTTGTATGAACTTTCTTTTATATATAAAATTTGTGTTTTGTTGTATATTTCTTATGAAGTCTGAGTAGTTTCCTTTATCTTTCTCCCTACCCATAGATATGGTGAAATGAAGAGATAATATGGATGTGCCAATGTTAACATATAAAGTAAATTGTGATGTTTTTTCAACTCCGAACTTAATTTACTTTTAGGTCTAGCAAAT